TACACCAGAGGAGATGTCCTGAGTTCTTGGGTAATAGTTGCATTAAATTATTGGTCTCATTCTGCTCCTGGATGGAAAATGTGATTATTGGTTCAAAAACGGGGGAGGGGCTGGGGGCTGGGGGAGGGATGGTGCTAAAGAGCATAAGGCCATCTTCCCCCAGTCTGGAAAGGGAGGCCCCTGCTTAGGGGGAGAAGCTGCAGTAAAACCATGCCTCCCATAGGAGAAAAAAGGAATCCTTACTTGGGGTGGTCTACGGGTCAACCCCCCAGGATTTAATCTTCTGAGCGCCCAGCTGAATCCTCAGCATTTGTTCCAGCATGGTTAACATCATTTTTTAAAGTTTCACTGTGTGCTTAAGGCTGGTGGATTCAGCTTTAAAGCCCTCACCCAGTTTAGGCTGCAGATTCTCCTGCTGAATTTCATTCTGTTTCAAACCCCTTGAGATCCGCTGGAATGAAGTTGCAATATGTGTGATTCAGCTGTAAATAAAATGAAGAACAGGGGGCCCTGGAGGGCAAGACAAGAGGGCCGCCTTGCCCACGCTGGTCCTCTGGAGGCTTCTATGAAGCCCACAGAGGACGGCCCGATGCCTTTTCAAATGTTTTATCTCCCGCCCTGATGCTTCAGCACTGGTCACGGAGGTTCCACTGAGCAGCGGCTAACTTGTCTGTTCGGAAGGGGGTCTCTTGAGGTTCCCCATCTCCGGCACTGGGAAACAAGGTCTATCCAGAAGGCTATGCTAAACCAGGGGAACCTATTGCTGTATCTGCCGCGTTCCCCTCGGCCCCGGCTGCTGTGGTCTGAGCAGCCTTCGGCAGGCATCAGGGTTGGCTCTGAGACCTTCCACAGGCAAGACGGGGGTCCTACTGCTCAGGGACAGTCCTTCCTAAACCATCACCACCACCAAGAGCAGCTCTTTCCCCAAGCAGGGAGGCAGCTGCCCCAGACAGCAAAGAGCGGGGGTGGAAAAGGAGTTGGTGGTCCCAACCTATACCGCCACCAAGCAAGCTGGCCACGCAACAGGACACTGCCCAATCCGGGGTGCAGAACTGGCCTTAACTGCCATCGCGCTGGCTTCTTAAAAAGAACAGGCAGGTGGGGGCAGGAGGGCATCTTTCGTCTTTCCTGTAAACTTGCCCACTGCGTGTTTGGCCCTTGATTCAGATTCTCCGCTTCAGCAGAAGCGGAGTTCCGACTTCCGAGCCCCGCTACTCCATCCCCTCCAGGTCGGGTCGTCATTCCGGGCCTCCTTTGCCCCTTGCCGGCTACTCTTCGTTTCTGCCCGCCACCCCGGCGGCCTCTCTTTCCTGTGGGGAAGGGCCCTGCCAGCAGCCTCACCATGGCAACGGTGTTTTGCCCCTCCAGAAAGATGCGCCACTCTACCAGGCTGACGGAGAGCTGTCAGAAACAATAACCCTGCTGACAGCCACAAATCCCTTTTGCAGATTCTGGCCGGGGTGTTCGACAGCCCCAGGCGCGATTCTGCAGCTGGCTGGAGGCGGCCACCTGTTCGGCTCTGCCCCCCGCCCGCAGCTTCCTCTGCACCAATTCTGAATCCACCCCGGATTCCTTCCCTGAAGCAAACCTCGTACAGCTTCTGATCCCCCCCTCCCAGAGGAGGGCACCCCGTGACATAACACTCTGGCTGCCCCCATCCGGCGGTAGTCAGACTTCTATTCTTCGCCTTGCTTAGCCTGAGGGAAGAGAAGAGGAACGGATTCTCTTCCGGTCATGCACCTGGAACTCCCTGATCCCTCGTCTTCTGGAGCAGAGGAGGAGTTCACCGTCACGGTCTCAAGGCTCCTTTCTCCTGCCCGGCCTGTCTACGTTTTTGAGCTTTGAGCTCAGTCCCGGAAGTTTATTTTTGGCTTTTCTCATCCACCTTCTGGGTGCAACGGGGGCTGATGAACTGGAAGCAAACCTGGCGTTAGGCTGCTCTCGTATGTTTTTGAGGCATGAAAATCCAGGTGTGGGGCCCAAAATTTGCTCTTCTGCGGGGCCTGAGGATTATCTTGTGGTCTGCAGAAAACAGTCCTGACAAATCTCCCTTCATAGCCACCAGAATTCAGCAACTGGAGAGGCGGCCTTGCTCTAAGCCACAGAGCAGCATCTCTGGTTTGCCACCCCTCTTTCCGCTCTCTCCCCCACCTCTGCTCCCCAAGTTTCCATTCTTCACGACAATGAAGGCGAGGGAGATACCCACAGCAGACGATCCACCCTAGCTCTGAGCCCAGGCTTGTTTCAGATGGCTGCCCCTGCGATAGAGCGGTCAAGGGAGCTGGATGAGACCCGGGTTCAAATCTCAGCCGCCGAGCACACTAAGATGGAGGATGACTCCCTTCTTGCCACTGTCACTGAGGAAATGCGAGCTTACTCTTCATCTAAAAGGAGAGGCGTATTTGTGGAGGAGGAATCCAGAAAGTAAGGCAGTTTAATGGGACCTTCTTGTGTAAGGGCAGAGTATCTCAAAGGTAACCAAGATAAGAACAGCGAGAGGCTTCCCCAGAAATTGCCAAACATTAGCAGTCTCAGCGAACAGGGCCCACGGGTAGGGGGAGCTGGAAGCTGTAGTTCAGCCACAGCTTAATTTTCTGCTCCTCCGGCCATGCCTGACAAAACATGGGGCTAGCCGAGCCTTGGTCCGGAAAAGCAGGCACTCTCCTCTGGATTCATCATACTGCCCTTCTCTTAGCCTCAGTTGCCCCATCTGTAAAATGGAGATCGTGGTGACGGGCTCTGCTGGCCAACTCAGCGGAAAAGAAACAGCTTTTCCTTCCCCCATCAAGCCCAGGAGACAGGCTAGTTTTTAGGGATGGCAACATCCACTGAGGGGCTGTGCTAGAGGCTCCGAGACGTTCTGAAAGACCAGCCTCGTGAAAACAGGCTTTGGTAGACTGAAGCGGCCTGGCAGGGGACGCTCGGCCAGCGTGCCAAAACCTCAGACAACGGGCTGGACCTGGAGTGAAAATGCCACAGCTCGTTTAGAAATGGATTAGCGCCCCTTTCCTGGCCAGGAGACATCTTTGCAGACTTTTTTCTTTGTTTTAAGGAAAAGCAGCAGCTTTGGCCGCTGGTGACCCTCCACTCCCTCTGCTGAAAGGGGGGGGGGGGGAGGATCAAGTCTGTCCGGAGTTCCAAATGGACACTGATGCGGTAGATGATGTTAAAGCTGACGCTAAAACCGTCTTAAATGGATCTTGGGGACAGGAAACCCACCCACAGCATTCCAGTATGGCTTATTAGCATGGCCAAGGGCGAGGATGCTGGGAACTGTAGTTCCAGCGGCTCCCCTTGCCCCCTCCCCAGATCACTCCCAGATAAGACAGGCAGATTATACGAAGGACAGGCCACAGAATGACTACAAAGCCTAGTTGGAATCTCCTTGGCTGGGGATTCTGGGGGCGGCTGCATCCCCACACGCCAGGTGGGACCCCGTGCACTTTCAGACTCTGCGGAGGAGGGAGCGGAGAGGCATGAGGCAAGGGCCCGAGGAGGAAGCCCTCCGTACATGCTCAGAGGCATCTGCCACGTACGAGAGAAATAAAAGTCGCTAATGTTTGGAAAAACGCACAATCTCAGGCCTGCACATTAAACAGCATCAAAGCTCCCTGTGCCCAAAAGGGCAGGGGGGTTATGTCCTAGCTTGGGCTTCATGCCGCCCCCCAGAGCTGGCATGGGCTCCCTCCCCCCCAGGGAACCCATTAGCACAAGAGGCAAGTCTGCGTCAGCGTGCCGGCACTCTGGCCACTCCTGCTGGCTGGGAGTTCTGGGTTCTGTGGTCCCAGGGGCCTGGAAGTTTCCAAGTAGGAAAATTGCGCTGGGGGATGGAAGGGCCATCCCTGCCTTGCCATTCTAGCTTTAATTCCCGCAAATGGTGATTCTGGAAGAGCCTCCTTTGCCCTCTCGCCAAACCCGCTGCCACCCACAGAATTAGGGGGGCTTTCACGGTCCTCTCTGAAGGCCCCCAGGGAGGCCAATGGGAGCCATCTGAAAGTTTCAACAGCTCACCCCAACACAGAACCGACCCAATCATCTCGCCCTCCTCATTCTCGCAGCCACCCCGATACGTTCCACATTGCCACACCCCGATCTAGAAGCAGCTCTCCCCGCAAAAGATTTCCTCCAGCACTACAGAAAAGGGGAGCGCGGCTCTCGGCACCCCTCTCCCCCGGTCGCTCCAGCACAAAGCCGGCTTGCTCGGGATCGCCCAGGGGTCCGTGCATCCTACCCCTGCAGTGCCTCTTTTTCTCCGGGGGGCAGGAGTGGGGTGGGCTGGGGGAGGCAGCAGGAAAGGGCCCCCCACGAGGCTGAGGACTCCCATCTGAAGCGGCAGGGATTCTCAGGATGAACCCGGAGCAGAGCGCCCCATTTGCTTCCCGGCATTTTAGACGTTAGGAGGTTAACAGGGCAGACCAGCTCCCGCTGGCTTCCGAGTCAGCCCCACCGAAGTCCACACGCTGCGCTTCCAGCATCCCACAGAAGGCAGAGCAGCCCCGTTTAGGGGGAGGAAGCTTGAGGATTCGCTGCTCGGGCACCTTCTTAAGGGTCCAGCGGCAGAGCAGCTCACCCAGCCCGGCCGCGTTTCCATCCGCCTGACCCCAAATCCCAGCCCTTGTCGGAGAGGCCTGATTCCAGCCGGCCCTCCTGCTCCCGACAGCCCTTCAGAGTTTGAACCCGGGCTTTCCTTGCGTGCAAAATGCCATGCTCCCTTTCTCTGGGCATGAGGGTGGCCCGGATGCACCCAGGAAAAAGGAATCTGCCCAAAGTAGATCGGGGGAGCACATGCCCAACTTCTCCCAGCTGAGCGCACCGTGTCCACCGGAGAGCCGATGCTGATGGCAGGACCGGCCAGGGGCGCGTTACAAAAGCAGAACCTAGTGGTGGATTCTTAATGGGGGGGGGGGTTGAACGGTGCTCCCCCCATTAATAAAGAAAACAGCTCCAGGCCATCCCGGCTCTCTCCCATTTTGCGCGAGGCACGCCACAGACAGCCTTACCTGAAGAAAACCAAAGCACTCGCTGCAATCCTGCCCCAGAAATTCCCCCAGACGGTCTGCGAGAGCCGAAAAGCTCCTCCTTATGTCCGCCGCAAGAGCCGAGGCGCTGAAGCCGTGGAACAAAAGAACCTCGAAGGGAGGAACGGCGAGCAGCCGCAAGACTCTCTGCCGTATTTCCACCGGCTGCAAGGATGCCCAGTGGAGCAGGGCAGGCAGGCAGGCAGGCGGGGGGAGCACGCACACAGGCGCGCGGGGCTCTGTCGCTCACTGCCGCTCAGTGCAGCTGTGGAGCAAAGCCTCCCCCTCCCTCAGCCGGCATGCGCAAGGCTGCTGGTCCGATCAATACCGCCCATAGCTTTGCCTAAGAACTGCTGGACTGGGAGGGGAGGAGAACCGGAATGGAACAGCCATCTGCTTGGGGCGGGGGGAGGAACAGCCAGGGACCGACCTCAATCCAGCCATGTTTGTAGTTGCCATCTGCGGAGCGTCAGTGCGCCCCGTGAAGCCCCAAGGGTCTCGCGTGCCCTCAGCTGGCTCGAGGTATGACATTCCACAAGGTGGTTTCCCACTTCCAAATGGGCACGTTGGCAGTGCCCGTGGAAAGAAAATGTCATGCACGGCACACGGCTGCCAGGGAGGTTCTTCCATAAGCAGCATTATTTGCACACTGGAATTGCAATGCCCTGCACCCATTTCCCTACAAGGGCGCGCGCAGGCTGAGAGGGCTGCACCCTGGAAACGCAGGGCGACATCTTGACCGGCTGCCTGTTTGGTCTCAAAATCTGCCACAAAACCCACCCCGGCTCTCTCAGGCCTTAGGCCTTAGGCCTCAACGGAGGCTGCCAGCATGAAGCCGGACTCAAGCTGGCCAGGCCGACCTGCCCTGGGGCCTTCCTTGAAAAAGGCCGTTGATGCCCAGAGAGGAAGTGAGGGTCAGCGACACTTGGGAATATGCAGCCGGAAGACTAAAACAGGTATTTGGTGCAAAGGGCCCCGGGCATCTGCCGCCGCTTCACTCGCTCACGCTGCAGGCTTACAAAACCACAAAGCAACTGAATAAACACAAACCAAAAAGGGCAAAAGGGGAAAAAAAAAGGGAAAAAAAAGGAGACTATTCAGCAATCACAGAGGCGGCGGGTGAGGAATTCCTTTCTCTAAAGAAGGAGCTCTTCTTTGTGAATGTGTTCTTGTCAATAGAAAGCCCTGCAGCAAGGAAAGAATTAGGCAACGTGCTTTCTCCCTCACCTGCTAGCTTTCTGCTTCCGGGGATGCTCTACGCTGAAAAGCACTGAAAAATGCTTGCTGCCAGAAGCATCTTTTCTGGGAAGTAAATTGCGCTGAAGCCAAAGGAGCAAGCCCAGGGCGGCAAAGGTCTTCCAACAGGGAAGAGCTAAACTGAGCGGGATTGAGGCTTTGAAAGAGAAGCCGGGCAGGCCGGGGACCCCACGTGGGAAGGGAAACCGGGCTCCCTCCCCTCCAGGCTCACAGACGGACCTGCTACAACATCTCCGCTCTGCGTTTGCTCCAGCTCCGAGCACCGGGGGGAAAAGCAGAGCCAAACTCAAAGTTAAAGCACGGGATCCTCTCCCCATTTAAGCCCCCCAGCCCAGGTTGAACCACCAGTCCTCCTCACCCAAACGCCATCGCACCAGAGAGGAAGGCTTGCATTACTCCAGCCGTCCCTGTGGCATTAGCATTCGGCCAGCACCCGCGATGGACAGGGAGATGTCCACGTTTCTTCCCCAAGAACACGGGGTCTGAAACGCCCTGGCACTCACGCACTTTCCTCCTCAGGGGACACGCTTTTTGGAGCAAAACATCTTGGATCAAGGACAAAGGCACGAAGCTTCCCTGGAGTGATTCTTACTTGGTCTTCTTCATAAGGGGCAGGATCACCCTGGCATCGTAGAAGAATCGTCCGAGGATTAAACATTGCATGGTTCCCAGTTTCAGCAGCGGTTAGCTGGACGTCTCTCTTTGGGCACTTGGCAGCAAAGCGGGCTCTCAGGTCTGCTCAACCCAGGGGCCACAGGCTGCCCAGCCTTGCTTTGGGAGAAAAACAGCGGGAGGTGGCAATCCAAGCAATTCTACAAGCTGCATCAGTTGGGCGAATGCCTTCAGAGATCTCTCCTTCCCCCTGTAAGCGGTCCTCCTTCATTTAAGACCGGGAAGAGCAAGACAATCAAGATGAAGAGTCATTCTAGCTGGAGACAGAAGTTGCTGACCCAGATGTGTGATGGTTGAAAGAGTCGTAGAACGGAAAGGGGCCACTGGGGCTAAGCCCCTTCATTGGGCCTGAATCCACTGAGAACCTCCCTGGCAGAGGGCTGTCCAGCTATCCTGTTTACCCCTTGGACGGCTGAACTTCGTTTTCCTCTTAAAGGATAGGACTAACAGCTCCTCTGACAGGCAGCTTTTGAGGGGGGAGTGTCAGAACAAAGGTAAATGGAACATCTGCATTTGGACCAACTCTTCTCTAGGCACGCAGACAATTTTAGCTACTAAAAATTGATGCGCCATAAGGAACTTTTATGTGTCGGGAGCTAGTTAATCTCTGCACAAGCCTATAGGTACTGTGAGCACCCATTATGATATTATTATATTACCTCTCATTTTGTATAGAAAGGAACAAACCACAGTGGCTTATGGCTAAACTATGGAAATTAAGTAGCCGAAAGAAAACATTTGTTTGCAGTTTGGCGTAAGAGAGGCTGTTTTGAAAAGGTCTTTCTTCCCCACCTTTCCAAACACGTCTTGGCTTTAAAACACATATATGTATTTCTATGGTGGGGGGGGGGATTTATTTATTGCAAGCATTCTTTAATTTTGGGTCTCCTGGGAGATTGCCTGTTTTTTTAGCATAACGGTGACATTCAAAACAGACAAGCTGTTGCAACTACAGCCCATTTTTGTTCCATATCTTTTTAACCCCCCAACCCCTGCGGATTTCCTTATTCTTCAGTGCTTATCGACATCCTTGATTCTGCACTACAACGTCTACCATTTTAATGCCAAGCAAACCATTTAGGCCCTGGTGCTATTTCCAGCCTGAACAATGTCATTAATAATCTGTGTCAAACACTAAGAATTAGAAGAAGTTGGAGGGGGACTGAAATTTGTCAAGTGAAACTAAGTCGTGGAGAGGAAGTTGGTGGTAGATAAGCAGTTGGGCAAGGCTTTCTTGAGATCAGGACGAGCTCAAAGCTACACAGCGTCTACTTACTCCAGCTCATATCTGGAGGAGGGGATGCAGTGCGGCTGCAGAAATGACAGGATTGGAATCCACCCCTGGACTTTCAAGTCTTCGAGGTGTATTTTCCACAATGATGCACCTCTCTCCAGCTGTCTGTCTTCCCAGCAACTGACAGAAGCCCACATTCCCCAAATGTGGGTCTTCCGGCTTGCCAACATCTTCCCACGTCCGAGCAGTCTCTGGTTGTTTGGAACTACAGCTCAAACATGTCCAGCCAGCAAGGTCAGTGGCTTTTCCTTTGCTCTTAAACCTAGGAAAAACATCCTTGCAGGAGTCTTATCTCGTCCAGCTGGGGTTCCCCCCCGCCGCTGAACCTGCGGAGGGTTAGCAGAAGGGCTGTGGGGGAACACACCGGCTCTGGCCCAGGAAGAACGCCAGGAGGAGCAGCTCGTGAGCCTCTGCTGCTCAAGACAAAGATCTCCCTCCTCCGCATGGACGTGAGTGGCCTGACTCCAGGACACAAGGGTAACTGGCGTCACCACCTCTTTGCATCTCCCAGGCTCCCGTTTCCTATCCAGTTCCGGGCGACAGATATTAAAACTCTAGTAAACCCACACTGGTGGGCTTCATGCAACACGCCATGCTACACGGTCATCTGTTGAATTTATGGCTAGATGGGAGACGGAGAAGCTGGGAACTTCCAGGGATGTACAAAATGCCCACGCCTTAAAGGGAGCCTTGCTCAGAATGGGAAGGAAGGTTTTGTTTTGTTTTTTTAAAGTCTGACATTTATTGAAACATAACCTGTAGCTCTCTAGTGACATAACACCTAAAGCATGAGCAATTCTTACTAAATTAGACCATGAAAGGGGGAGGGGGGCTCATCACAGACCTATGTTTCTGAAGGTCATAGAAAACCCCCTCAGAGTTAACTGGAAAGACACATTCTCCACGGTTTCACAAGATTTTGGTGCCTGCCAACATCCTCTCGTCAAAATTTAATCTAAATATATGTGCATATGTGATGGCAACAGAGACTGAGAAAAGAATTACGTTTAAATCTCACCCATCAATAAAATATTCCCAGGGCAGCTTTTGAAATATAAAGCACAATAACTGTATCAATACTCAAGCCGACTATTTGATCCAAAGAGAAAGGAAGAAATTCTATTTGATTCCTCTTTTAAAACCACTTATCAGCCAGCCAGGGGTATTTAATAGCGCTTCTCTGGATCGCTGGCAAAGTCGGGGTTATAAGAAGAATACACTCCTGCCACCCAATACCACCCTGCTGGACTGGCCAAGACTTTTTTTTTAGCCTAACAGCACCTCCCTCTTTCCACTGACAAGGACGCAGTCGTTATGCCCATGTCATCCGCACAGGCACAGACAGGATTTTCTAGCTCTTTTTTTCTGGTGTTTAAGAAGGAATGGGAGGGTTTTTTCCCCCCACTCCCTTTTGAACATGCCTTTTGCAGAGACTCCATTTTTCTTTTAATGCCTGCACTGATTCAAAGCAGCAGGAAATACTTTTTGGAAGCAATGAATCATGGAAACGAGACCGCCCCGTCTAGTTTCAGCACCAAGGACGGAGATTCAACGGGATGGCCGGGCGGTGCGAAAGCCGCTCCACGCCTCCCTTTGCGGGCTGCGGGCCTGAGAAAGTTGCCACTCGCCAACCTTTGCAGAGCCTCGCTCTCGCCACTTGTGGGTACAGCAAAGGGACGCAAGAGGAGAGCAGGGAGGAATGGCTATCTCGCCCCTCATCGTCCACCCTCAGAGCAAAGGAAGCTTGAGAACGATGCAGCGTTTCCCCTCCACTGCTTCCGGCTGTAGTAAGCTATCATACGGCTGGTGTGCCTTTTCTAGGGCGATTC